CCTGCAGATGAAGCGATTAAAAAGACCATGGCTTGGGTCAGGTGCACCTTCGTCCTCAAAGGAACATCCTTGCTCTTCAGCATTCTAAAGAGGTCTGTGCGGCAGATTGACCCGATGCAATGCGTCGTTTGATCTCTTGATGCGGCTTCCGTGAGCTCCAGGTAACAGTGGTAGCTGAATAATGGTGATTCACACCAAGACAGGGATATTGTCAGGACCACTGATGCCATAATGCTGGCTGAACTCCTGGCACCACCCTCACACCCATCCTTCCATCGTCCACATGCGCCCCCACCCCTGCACCCAGATGTGCACAAAGTCTCAGTAAGGCACTCCCTGCAAGTCAGGCCCCATGTGTCCAGTAGCCACAGCTTAGGACTTTGTCCTCTGGGGGCTCATACTTTTTAATGCAATAAGTTTGATGGGGACCTATGTATGGATTAGACCATACTGCCTGTATAAAAAGTGGTATGTGCACACGAACCACATCACAATGTACTATTTCACAGAGTGTCTTGTGATTATTAAGTGGCACCTACCTGTCCTTGATGCTTTGGGTTTTATTTTAATTGTTATGTGTTCATGAGTATAATAAAGATTCAGAAGTTGGTGACTGACTATGAAATACAGCCGTCCAGCTATCTTGGAGCCTATTCTCCTTTGCTTATTTTTCTCTTTTGCTCTTCCACTCCCTTCAAATGTATCTGTTCCATCTTCCCTCTTATTATTATTGCAGTGGATCAAAGCACTTTTATTGGAAAGTTATTAAGGAGCCTGGAGGAGAGGAGAGGAGAGGAGAGGAGAGAGGAGAGGGCAGGGAGCCTCACCTACTACATTTGGCCTCAGGGCATTTTAGACTAGGGATCACAAGGAACTGGGCTGTTCCATCCCTGGGCAGCTGACAGCTGTGTCTTTGTGCGCAGGCTGGTGGCGTATCCCAGCATCGTGCAAGCCTCCAGTCAGTCCTCGCCATCAGCAGCCCCCACCCCCAGCCCAGCACCGTTCACAGTGCTCCTGTGACTTTCTCCTCCCAGCATCTGTGTCTGAGGGCACTTGTAGCTCCAGGAAATCCGTACCCTAGGAACCACTGATTCTGGGGGGAGTGCCTAAACCCCCCTCCTCCCTGCAATAATGTTGAGACATATGCTTCATTCCACTTCCCTGTTACTCCTGTGGAGTTGAGCTTCCATGGCTCAGGAATGTAGGCTATAATGCAGCCCTTCCTTGAATTACTTCTCTATCGCCCTGTTAGCATTTCCCAGTTCAACTACTTACTTACTTGCACCCATCCCTGTTTTCTCAGGGAAACAAGACAGGATCCAAGCGGCACAGAAATGCTGGCTGGGAAGTTGAGATTCTTGGCTTCTGGGCTCCACTCTTCAACACTCCGGCCTTTGCTGCTCCCATCAGCATATGCCGCTTCTCTTCCGATCCTCACGAAACGTGTTTTCTTCAGCTTGGAGAACTTCCCCCCTTGCAATGCCCTTTTGTCTACAGTATACATTGCTTTGTATTTCCGCTCCTCCCCAAGAAGTTTTCAAACCAGGGATTGTCTAAGAAATCGCTTCGTTCACTTTCTGCCTAACTGCTGCAATTTTAGTCACATAGGCACGCTGAAGGAAGCTGCTCCCACGATGACTTCCGTTCTACCCGTCTAGCGGTCTTCTTTCTGCTCTCTCGTCGGCCCTGTTGCAGTTGGGTACATGGACCACATCGGCGCATGTGACCTGGAACTTTAGTAATTATAAAGGATCTCTGTACCATCCTTTTATTTTACATCCTGGGAAACGGAACCTTCGCGATGTTGAGTGTCCCACTGGGTGCCAAAGGCCGATAGTATCACATCATCTAGAGCAGTGGTTCTCAACCTTCCTCATGCCTCAACCCCTTAAAACAGTTCCTCATGGTGTGGTGACCCCCCCAACCATAAAATTACTTTCATTGCTTCTTCATCACTCTAACTTTGCTACTGTTATAAATCGGGTGACTCCTGTGAAAGGGTCGTTCCGCCCCCAAAGGGGTCGCGGCCCACAGGTTGAGAACCACTGCTCTAGAATGTCCCAGTTGCTTCACATCATAATATTGAAATATGGTGTCTATATATTTCAAATATAAGAGGTGTGCATAAATATATCTGTATATATATTTGTATATGTATGTGCGTGTATATATATGTACTTGTGGGCATCTGTCTGTATGTGATGTGGCATTGGTGGTTCAGTGGTTAAGTGCTCAGCTGTCAGTTCAGAAACTCGGAAGTTTGAATATAGCAGCCACTCCACAGGAGGAAGATACAGCTCTACCCTTCTGTAAAATCACAGCCTAGGAAACCCTGTGGGGACAGTTCTGCTCCGCCTGCAGCGTCACCATGAGTCATAATTCACTCCAGGCCAGTGGGTTTGGTGGAAATGTGTATGTGATTGTGTGTATGTGTCTGTGTGTGTACAAGGCATTTCAGATAAAGAAACTGAAATTCATTGAAGTTACGTAGTTCACTTAAGATAATTTGCCAAGCTTATAGCTAAGTGGTAAATCTGAAATAGAATGGTCAGATTCCAAAGTGTTTGGCCTTCTATTCTCCTCACAGCAACCTCTCTTTGATTTTGTTTTTAATTAGCTGTAGAACCCTAATTCTTAAAAGGTACTTCAATACATTCGGAAAAAGTACAAGTGAGATTTGCTGAGAGAGCAATCAAAAAAGATAATCCCCCCACAGAACTAGAAGTAGATGATGACATTTAAAAACAAAACAACCACAAAATCCTTTGTCTTCCGATCTTTATAGACAGTATTTGTTCACAGTGATCCTATATCTGAATGAGAAGTAGAACGTCCGCATGGTTGCAAAGTTGAGTTGTAAGTAATATCTGCCAACTTCCTATTCCTGTCATTAAAATGCTGACAGGCAGCATAACCTAAACAAAGAGTCGGGGCTATAAAATGCTATCATGGGCTGTATGTCTGTCCTGGCAAGAGGATGTACACTTTAATTCTGCAGGGAGGGCACTTACCTGAAATGAATGCATACCTGCTAGAGTAGGGAGCACACCTGAACAGGTGTAACAGAAGAACGCATGTTCTGAACGCTGCACTAAACGGGTGGGTCAAGTTAACGAGGCTAGCAGATTTCAGTGTTTCATCATCACACACATGAAGACAAGTATTTTCAAAGGAACTACACTTTTTTTTTCCAAAAGGGAATTCAATCCATTTGTGGGGGCGGGAAGCACTTCTAAAGCAATTTGGCTTTTATCTTGAAATCTGTTTTCTTTACTGTACTGTTATTTCTTTAGTCGATGGTATAAGTGCTCTGAAGGACAGAAACCCATCTCTTGTGCTTCTGTTTTTGCAAAGGATCTCTGCTTAGGACTAGGTCGACAGAAGTCTCTCACCATGGCGAACCCAGTGGAGCTCAGATGGTCGTACAGTGGTCAGAAGGAAAGAGGGTCATGGGATGAAGTCACGTTGTTCTGAGGCTGGAGGGTCTTGGTAGAGTACAAAGTGGATAAGACTGGGTTTCTTTCCTTCAGCTATCGTATTGCCTTGACATTTCTTTTTCCCTAGAGCACAGGAGCCAATCATGAGGCTCAAAATAGTGTTTCACAGCTCCCCAAAAGCTGCCAGAGAAGAGGCTGAACAAGGAGCATGCAGCAGGGACCAGAGACAAGCTAACATTTTACGTCTGCCTCAAGGCTATGCTGGAAATCCTGCAGTGCTTGCAAAGGGTGCTTAAGGGCTGTGTCACCGTCGAGCTGCAGGAGCAAATTGGTTTCTGTTTAGGATTCTGAAATTGCGATTTGAATACTGTCTGATATTTTGTTTGCCTTTAACTTAATCTAAATGATTGCTTGACCGGAGAATTCAGTGATCCCATTTTGAGTAGCAGAGCCATTAGAAAGCAAGGTCCCTATCGCGTCTGGGGACTTAAAGCCTTGAAAGTAAACAAGCGGCATCTAGCCCAGAAGCAACAAAGCCCACATGGAAGCAGCACACCAACATGTGTGATCATGAAGGGCCGAAGGGACCAGGCTTCAAACACCAAAGGCGGGGTGGCGCGGGATGGGGACCTAATGCCCATCTCTAGACAACTGGACATATCTTGCAGAGGGGTAGTGGGGAGATGAGTCACTTAGGGTTCAGTATAGCAATAATGAAACCTACAACCTTCCTCTAGTTCTTAAACGCTTCCTCCCCCCAATTACCATGACCCCAATTCTGCCTTGCAGACCTGGTTAGACCAGAGGATGCACAGCGGTACAGATGGGAATTGGAAACGCAGGGAATCTACGACAGATGAACCCCTCAGGACCAGGGGTGACAGTGGCGATACCAGGAGGGAAGGGGGTGTAGTTAGAAAGGGGGAATTGATCACAGGGATCTACATATATCCTCCTCTCTGGGGGACGGGCGGAGAGGGGTGGGTGAAGGGAGACACCGGGCAGTGTAATATAAGATATAATAATAATTTATAAATTATTAAGGGTTCACAGGGGATGGGGGAGTGGGAAGGGCGGGGGGGCGGGAATGAGCTGATTCCGGGAACCCAAGAGGAAAGCGAATTTTGGGAATGATGAGGGCAACAAATGTATAGGTGTGCTTTACACCATTGATCTATATATTGTGATGAATTGTATGAGCCCCAATAAAATGATTTTTTAAAAAAAAGAAGAAATCAAGGTACCAAAGTTGCTATTTTTGTTTCTTCCAGTTTAGAGCTGAATCCCATTGTGTGGATAAAAGTGGATTGCATGATTCTTAAGCAAGGTATCCCAGGTGCCGTCACTTCTCCCACCGGGCGACGGCAGTTGCATTTAGATGCTCTGTCCTGCCAGAGTTCAGTACAAATGCCAACGACTGACTAATGTATGCTCCGCTCACCATCTTTATCTCAGCCTCAGAAAGAACGCTAAGGCAGTGGGGGCTTTCCAAACCTCCAGCCTTTGACTCCTGCTTATTTCTCAGTGGAAATGATTGAAAGCAATAATTCTCTCTTGCTGCAGGAGGAACTGTCAGAAGAAGAGAGAAAACACCAAGAAGCTCTAAACGACCTTCACGTGGTGGTCGACGAGGATTTGAGGAGCGAAAGTAGCAGTACAGAGGAGGGCAAAGGGAAGACCAAATTGCTGTTAGAACGATTGAAAGCGCTGGAGGTAAGAAATAAAACGATGGTTGTGCGTTTAAAGAAAAATCACATTGTGCTCCTTCTTTTATTGGACCTGATTTGAAGTGAGTATAAATCTTCCCTTCTCAATTCACCCTGACTAATACGATCTAGGGTAACCCATCATGAGCCATCCATCAGTGATGTGCAAAACCTTATGATTCGTAGCACTTGAAAAGGTCTCAATCTAGTGACAACGACCATATGGCCTTAAAAAGAACCCGGGGCAGTGATTGACTTTAATTGTACTTCAGCGCTTCAACTGGAAAGCTTCCTAAATTTGTAAGTTGTCCCTAGGGAGGGTTCCTAAAACGATAATCTCCCTGAGGGGAGGGACCTATAATCCATAATATCTGGAGTAAACAAATGAATGAAATAACCAACTCTTTTTTTTTAATCGTTTTATTAGGAGCTTATACAACTCTTATGGCAATCCATACATACATCAATTGTGTAAAGCACATTTGTACACTCATTGCCCTCATCATTCTCAAAACACTTGCTCTGCACCTAAGCCCCTGGCATCAGCTCCTCATTTCTTCCCCTCCCTCCCTGCTCCCCCCTTCCTCATGAGCCGTTGATAATTTACAAATCATTTTGTCATATCTTGCCCTGTATGATGTCTCCCATCACCCACTTTTCTGTTGTCCGTCCCCAGGGAGGAGGTCACATGTAGATCCTTATAATCAGTTCCCCCTTTCCAACCCACTCTCCTTCTACCCTCCCAGTATTGCCACTTACACCACTGGTCCTGAAGGGATCATCACCCTGGATTCCCTGTGCTTCCAGTTCCTATCTGTACCACTGTACATCCTCTGGTCTAGCCAGACTTGTAAAGTAGAATTGGGATCATGATAGTGGGGAGAAGGAAGCATTTAGGAACTAGAGGA